TTAAGGTCTGCAGCCCACCTTAGATAGTTAAAGGCTGATAAGAACCTCCGCCAAGAGGTCATATGAAGGTTGAAAAGATTAAAAATAAACCAATCATTTAGATTGGCTCCTGGAATATTAAAAGGATGTTTGAGGTAGGTTAAATCCACAACACCATCCAACAAATAACCCACTTTTTGATATTATTCTTTTTTGTAACCTTTTTAAATCTAAACCTACATTTGCCAATAACAGGAACATGAACTGACGATACATCAGCACCGGGGTAACTTTTAACTGATAGGCATCCATTAAGGAATCTCGTGTTCACCATTATGTAATGAATTTGATTCCTTATTATCTTTTATGGTTAATCTTGCGTAGAGATTCACGTATAAAAACGTCTAGGTAGTAGTTTAAAAAACGTATATAGTATGGCAAATTCTTCTTTCTTTACAAATAGTTTTAATCTTTCTCCCCTGTTATTTCTCTTTCCTAGATCAAAATTATCAACGAATTCACCGCTTTTCCCTTTACCAATTTTCGCATTCAAGTCACCCATAATAATAGTTATATCTTATTTTTTAATTTGTTTATGTCAATTTATCAACAACTCATAGAATTGCTCTACCTCTTCTAGTTTATCACTGGATCGGGCATACAGTTTTGTAACATATTGACGTAATTGAGATGATACGATTATTCCAATCCCATACATATGTTGACCTTCATCATTTCCCGAGTGGTATACCATATATTGGTTGTCAACAATAGAAGCATCACTATTTATCTACCTTATTTTGCTTACTATGCGTATTATGCATACTTTAAGTCTAGTTATTTCTTGTATGGTATTATCAAGTTTTTCAGTCTGATACATTGTCTTCACATTCCAGGTACATATTCTGATAATCAACTCTTTTGCAGTTCTGTCACAAAAATCGCTCTGGGTTACGACCTGGGAGGCCCTGTAATGTAGAGGTGGATTATCTCCCCTGGCGAATTTTGGCTTCCGTATTCCATGATTAGTAACTGTTTTCACTTAAGCTGTGTTTGCCATGATACCTTTACTAGAAATGTTGTTAGGGATCTTTAATCCAGTGGTTTCTCGTTGCCTTCTGCATTCTGATGCCGTTGACCACTTACTTGGTTCTTTCGCCTTCGAGACCAATTTCTTAATCTAAGTACAACAGAGTGCTCTTCCACTTACCGGCTCATCCGACCGTAGCCGTTGGCCAGTAAATAGTGCATTGCTTATCATGGCAAACACTCGAACGTCAGAGCCTGTTTTTTTATCAACCAGTTGTAACCATTTAGTATACGAAAACTATATCAGACTAGACTACAGAATATGTTACAGAATATGAACAGCCAAAGGAAAATAAAAAAATCTACGTTTTATAAAAGGCTTAACGACAGTACCCCAGAAACACGAGAAGAATATGTTATCGTCAGACAACAAATCAAGCAAAAAACAAGGCTCGAGAAGAATGAATACTGGGACAGAATGTGCAGAGACATAGACAACACAATAGGATATAACAGATACAAGGAGGGCATGGAAAAACATAAAAAATATCAGAAGTAATAAAGGCAATAAAAAATTATACAGTTAATTCCATTATAACAGTGAACAAAACATTACACAAAAGTATCGCAGGAGAATAGACCGGAGTATATTTCACAGGACCTTGTGACAACAATAACAGAAGGAGCCGAAATATTTCTTATTAAATCCTGGAGATCTACTAGCTTACTGTACATGGTTTTCGTTTTTGCCAAAGTTATTTTAGGCCAACTTCATAGCTCGCTACATTTAAGTCGCTTAAAGATTCTTGCAGTTTTGCAGGATTATTAGCAATAAGAACAATATCGTCTGCAAATTTTAGATGTCTGAGGTAATCTCCATCAATGGATAAACCCCTGTTTTGCCAGTTTATTTTGCTGAGTATACACACAACCAAACTTTATGGAATCACCCAGTATTTCTTACTAATATTAAGAAATGTATGAAAACTTTTTTTGCAGATAAGAGATAAAGGTTTTTGTTGGAAATAAGATTTATAACTGATAAAATTTAATCAAGTACACATTGAAAAATTTTATTATTTTTGTCAAGTTGTAAAACCGAGACGTCAGAGTACAGTTAAGTTGGTGTTCAAAAAAGGTAATAGGCCCTATGTAGGTTAGTCAGATGTTCAGAGGAGAAGCATTGTTACTCTTGTTAAACAGGGAATGTCACAAAGGCAAATTTCAACTACGCTACACGTCTCGCAGAGCGCTGCTTCAAAAACATATGCAAGATTTTTAGAATTGGGTACACTCAAGAACAGACCTAGAGAGTCATCGTAGATTAACTAGTGATCGACAAGACTGATTTTTAGGTCAAATAGCTAGAAGAAATCCAACCTCTTCTCATCCGGAACTCCAAAGGTAACTTTTGCAGACTACAGGTATTGACATTTCAGTTGAAACAGTACAAAAGATACTTCGTTCCCAAAATTTATATAGCAGGAGGCAGTTGAGGGTCCCCGAGATATCCAGACAAAACAAAATTAATCGGCCGAATTGGTGTCTGGAACACCAGAACTAGACAAATGAAACTGGAATCTGATTGGCAAAATGTCCTTTTTTCACATGAAACCAGAATTGAGATCAGATTACCGTTGAACTCGGGTTTTAAGAGGTCAAGGCAGACAAGCTAAATTGCAAACTGACAGATCCATTCCAAGCGAAGCACTGTAATGATATTGCCTCTCCAAATACCAGCAGAGTTGCTACAGACTTTCTGGAAACTGAAGATGTCACTGTTCTGAGCTGGCCTGCCTACTCACATGATATTACTCACATTAAGCATTGTGGAACCTTATTAAAAAAAGGATTAGAGCTCGAAGAGATAATCCATTGAATGCGTATCAGCTCATTCAGGCCGCTCTAGAAGAATGGGCAAACTGACCTCAAGAACAAGTTGACGATTTTATTAGAAGCATTCCCCGTCGGATTAAAGCTTGTATAAGAGCTGGAACTGGCAGCACTGACTATTAAAATGAACAGCAAGACTGCATCTTTCTTTAGTCAACCATTGCAATGTTTTCATTTGTTCGTGTTTTTTGCGTTTTTGATAATTTCAAGCATTTGCAACATTTTTTGATTATTTTTTTTTGATAGTACTTAAACTGGTTTAGTATAAAATGTAGCAGAAAATAATGAGTCAGACGATGAACAATACGTACCACCACAAAATAATGATTCAAGTGACTCTGATGCTTCAGAGCAGTTAGAAAGTTTTATTGTACAAGACTCACCAATTTATGTAAATACTGCTTCTACAACTCAACAGCACGAGTTAGCTAATTTTATCGTAAATCCAAGTGCATCTAAGCCAAGTCACAAGAGAAAAAGAGGTCAACAAGGAAAAACTATTTCATTTGGAGACACCGAACAATCGAAAGACGGAACAACGTGGAAAGTTATTAATTCTGGATCAGTACCTGGTAAGATTATGATTTTTAGTATCTTCATATTCATTGAATGTTTGCTCATTATAGGACGCCGCACTCAGCACAACATTTATCGAGGGGATCAGGAATCAGGTCCTACGAAATATTTCAGATTTGACATAAAGCAAACAATATCTGAACAATTGAAAACCGACAAATTTGCTCTAGCCTCTGCGGTTTGGAATGGATTTATAGAAAATAGTGGTGCATGTTACAAACCGGGAATAAACCTTACCGTGGACGAACAACTACTGCCTTCTAAAGCCAGGTGCCCGTTCACACAGTACATATCAAATAGGCCGGATAAATTTGGCATAAAATTTTGGCTTTTGACATGCGTGGAATCAAAATATATTGCAAATGGTTACCCTTATACTGGCACTGATTATCTACGCAAGAAAGATACAAGTGTTGGTGAACATGTTGTTTTGCGGTTAATGGAAAATCAACTGGGAAAGGACAACAATGTTACAAGAGATAACTACCTTACATCGTTAAAATTGGCCAAGGCATTGCAAAAAAATCAACAAGTCTTGTGGGTACTTTGAATCGCAACAGAAAGGAAGTTCCTCTAAGCGTAAAGAGTAAAAATGCAGAATTATATGTTACCCATATATTCCAGAGTGACGAAAAGATATCACTTACTGCATACCAAGGAAAGAGTCACAAAAATGTGCTTTTGTTAAGCTTATTACATCAATCAGAGGATGTTGCTGTCGATGGAAAAAAACTTCCTTAAACAGTAAGTTTTTATAATAAAACAAAATACGGGGTTAATGTAGTGGCCCAAATGGCATACTACAAAAATTGCTTCAAGACGATGGCCAATGCACGTGTTTTATAACATTCTTGACTATTGACATATAACATATTGACTTAGGAACAATAAATGCATGGATTATTTATAAAGAAGTAACTGGAAGTAAAATCAGTCGTCGTAAGTCTATTCTTCAGCTGTGTGAAGAATTACAGGCTCCATACCTTGCCTCCCGAAATCTGGTACTATACCCAGCACCACTGGAATTACCAACCACCAGCACTGTTACTAGCCAAAAAAGAAAAAAAATGTCAGTTAAACATGTTTTGTAAACGAAATCATACTTCCGATAAGTGCCACAGCTGTAACAAGGCAATTTGTGGCAAATGCCAAAAACTGGAAACTGTATGGTGTTCCAAATGTTTAAAATGAAACTAAAAAATTAAATCAAATTCTATCGTCAAGAGTTTATATAATTTCTTAAAACTGTTTATTTTTATTTTTTGTTTATTCCCAAATATATAGTTAATTCTAAACTTGGTTTTTATTGATTTAGGTACTTGGGGCCAAAATGATCCCTTCGGGCTTTCTAGGTAGGTATGCTAAGGACTTTCTAGGTGGGTATGCCCGACTTTCTAGTGTTAAGCCTTTTTAGATATGGTACTTTAGAATTCCCCTGTTGCAGTAAGAAAAAATAATATGTATATTGTTTTATATGTTTATTATTTTTATTATGACTTTTAAAATTACAAATAAAATTGTACTGTATCGAAAACAAAACACAACAAAACCAAAAATCAACCAAAGCTATTAAACTGGCTATAAAATAAATTAATTAATTATGCAAGAAAATTTGCTTTCAAGATGTAATGTTTTGGGATACATTAAGCATATCTAATTAGTTTAAGTTTTAATTGTTCTCAATATAATTTCCATGTTTTATAGTCAATATATTAAATTAGTCTAGAGAATTTCAAGAGAATCAAAATTATTGTTATAAATATCAAGCTAAAATTTTAACCAAGATATTCCAAATACTGAGAGATTGGTTATTTTGGTTGCTTATAGATCTGCAGACAATAGTAACATTTTATATTATGACGTTGTCTTTCTCCTGTTCGTCCAAACATAGCTGGCAAATTTAAGTTCGTCTGATAGTGCATCACAATAAGCTATCTAAAAATATAAAAAAAAATAATTACTCGATATAATACTCTATATAACACTATACAATTAGACACCAAAGAAAGAAACAGTTGAATACCACTAAACATATAACACATAACTACTGTTATGTCTGAAATTATGGAAAAAATACTAGCTAAGAGATACCAATAGGTACATACAGATACCAACAGAGAGATCCATTTTTTTTGAAAACAATTTATACTGCGTAACAGCATTTGTCGATCTGAGTCAAGGTGTTGATAAGCTATGTTAACAGGAACTTTGTATGTCATGTATATCATACTACACTTGTGTCTTAATGAAAAATATTTCTAGGTAAAAGATGAAAATGAAATAATCTATTTATATCGCGTAAAATCGTTCTTCTTGACTGGCTTTACAATCCTACAACATCTTTTAAGACCTTGCGCTTTTATTTCCCATCGTTGTACCCAAACTGAACATTTTTTGTGAAATTTAAAAGACATTTCAATATAAGGTTGAATGTTCGAATAATTAAACTTTGATGGTATACAAGGCAACTATCGAATACAGTAATTAATTAAATCTTGCCCAAGTACTTTCGATCAATAGATCATCTTCAGGGGCATCTGAAATAAGCCAAGAAACGTTTTTTTATAAAAAGGAAAATTAATTTACTTGGATAAAAAACTCCAAGTTTATGGTTGAAAAAAGTTTTAATGTGATAAACGTTTATAGACTTACTTCGTCAGTTGTGGCCTATCCGACATGAGTAGAATGTCATACATGTAAATTTGGACATAACAATACAATACACAAAGACAAACAAACACTTTAAAATTTTTTTAAAAAGGAGAAGCTACATGTTATATAGAAGCCGGAGACAGAATGGGCTCCCAGTCTGGCGAAAATATTGAGATGACATGTGACAAATGACAGCTTGTAAAGGGCAGTTATGTGATCTGCACCTTTCAAAATTCTATGAAACTAAGTACTGACCAAAGGTCCAACTGACACCACTATAGGAAATCAACTGATGAAATATAAAATTATATAGTATATTTTTATGTAGATTGAATAATCCAAATCTCACACTCAAACCTGTCTATAATAATTAGGATGTTAGTTTGAGAGCAATTGAAGTTGACATAAAGTATGAATGTAAGAAAAAAGTCTTTTCTTACATTCATACTATATGTCAAGTAATATTAGACTCAACTGACTAGAATTTTTATATATATTTTTAGTTGCATGTAGTTTGTGACCACCAAAGAAGAATAAGGGACTTATTTGTCGGTTATCCAGGATCAGTACATGACAGCAGAGTTTTTAGAACTTCACCATTAGCTGAGAGTTTAGTTGTAAAGTGTGCAGATTATTTTATTTTAGGGGATAGTGGTTATCCATGTTTGCCCAATCTCCTAACTCCTTTTAAAGATAGAGGTAATTTAACAAGAAGACAGTTAAATTACAACATGAAATTAAGGAAAAATATATGTAGTTAAACACTGTTTTGGTCTACTTAAGCAGAAATTCCGTCAGTTGTATCATGTAAAATTAAGAGCTGTACCAGATATAATACATTTTATAAGAGCATGTTGTGTTCTTCATAATATGACAATCGAAGACCAATTTGAATATGAGGCAGAAAATATTGATGAAAATATTTTACCATTTAATTTGGACATTGATGAGAATAGTGCAGACAGAAATAGAATGGAAAGAAGAAATGAAATCATGAATTTGTTACCTATGCAAATAAATCATGTTTATTACAATTTTTTTTAATATTCTGAAATATTTTAATCTTTTCGATGTAGACTGTAAAACATGTATTACTTAAAGTATGATGTATTTAAAACATATTTTTAAGTTTTAGAGTTAATATATGTATATTCTTTTTATTTGTTACATATTCAATTTGTAGAAAATAAAAATATAACTCTGATGATTTATTATTAAAAAAAAACCTGTTAGGTACAAACTTAACCTTAAATTTACTTTCCTACAAATTAAGGTATTTCAGTAGGTAAAGATTCTTTTGATACTAAATATTTGCTAAGTATTTCGTTCGTCTTCTCTATCAGTTTATTTTGTTTTCTTATTTCTAAAAGTCTTTCTTCTTCAAACAGTTTCTTTGTTTGGATTTTTTCTTTGATCACTTCTAATCTTTCTTTGTGAATTTTTAGCAGTTCTGTATAAAATTCCTTTTTGTCTTCACACATTTTTTGGAGAATATTGTTTTTGCTAACTGGTTTCTCTCTCTTTCTTTTAAGTGATTTTGGTGTAGAACTAAGAACATTGGCTTTAGCTGTTGCTACATCTTCAGGCTTTTCATCTATGTTATGTGCTACTGTTTCATTAGATAACAGCAATTCAGGATTGACATTTCTTTTTTGCCCAAACATCTCATCTAGTTCATTACTATATTCAAATGTTTTGCGGCCTCTTCCTGTGTTTTTACTCTCATCTATATATTTCTTATAATTTCTTTCAATTACTCGCCATTTATTTTCGCAGTGACATGCATTCAAATTAAGATTATTATTAAGATTATTAAGTTATTTAGTTGTTCTGCTACCTTTGCCCACATAATTTTCATGGATTTCATTTGTAAACTCCCAACCCTATCGCTGTATTTTTTATAAAAATCTATTAATGACAGTGTCTGGTTGTGGGTCCAAGATATACTGACTGAAACACTTGTCGATGGGCTTTGGTTTACAATTATAAATTCTTGTAAATCTGAAACAAATGTAACCTTTAAATACCGTTTAGAAAAATGTGTTTCATTATTTTGTTAAACTTTCACTTTAGACGAAGTTATTGTTTTGAAAAAAAAAGTACATATTAGAAATCTATTTGTTTGATTACAAAAATTATGAATCTCGATATTAACCAAAAATATTATGTTAGGTTAGATTAATTTAATTTAGATAATCAGCAAATCGTTCGTGCAGCATAAATTTTGACAACGGTCAGAAAACAGTCTAATTTCACGTCTGCGCAGAGTGCATAGTTTACAAACGGTAAGGAAGCCACTGCAGAAACAAACCTTATATAACGCATATACAGCAGCCACTAAAGTGTCCCTTCATATCATAATAAAAAAAGAGAAAAAAATATGTCTAATAACTTGGATGAGAAAGTTTGTAATACTGTAAAAATTGAATGCAGATCTGTCAGTAAAAGAGATATTAACCTAAAAGACGTAGTAAACAAAATAATTTAAACTTACATTTTGGTCTTTAGCAATGTGCCTTAAATTCCATAAAAATTCAAACAGGGCAACTGCAAATGCAATTCCTATTCCAATACCTAAAATTATGAACAGTCCTCTCACATGTTCTATCGATAACTCTTCGGTCGAAACAGGATTCTCTGATTGACAAGGCTCCGTGTCCTCTTCCTCATTTTCATTCTTTTCTACCCACCATTTTAGTTTTAATTCATTGAGTGATCCATCTTCTTGTAGTTTTAAAATGGCTCTATTTATTGCACCTCGATAATTAGCATCTTAAAATAAAACATTTTGAATGAGTACGTTATTCAATGATTAATATTGGATGAAAGTTGCTTGGATATTCAATGTAGTCCGTTTAACGTTTGTTATGGATATTAAATACTAAGGCACAGAAATAACAAACAAAGAAGTAACTCTGACAAAGTATTTAGTAAAATTTAAACGCTATTAGAGGTTTTAGAAAGGGATTCAGCACAAGTGACTATTTACTAAGTATGAAAATACTTATACAACAAGCAAATGAATACCACATTCCTCTATATATGGCGTTCACAGATTTCGAAATGGCTTTTGACAGTGTCGAACATTGGGCAGTGAAAAGTTCTTTGATTAACAGCCGAATTGACCACAGATATACGGAACTAATAACCAATATATATAAGAAAGCCAAAACAACAATTAAAGTATATGAAGGAACAAAATCATTACAAATAAGTAGAGGCGTGAGACAGGGTGATACAATATCACCGAAACTTTTCAATCAGGCTCTTGAAGATACTTTTAAAAGATTAGAATGAGAAAAAAAGGTATAAAAATTTGTGGACAACGCTTGAACCATCTAAGGTAAGCTGATGACATCGTATTGATAACCGATAAAAAAGAATTGGTTGAAACGATGAAAGAACTGGACGTAGAAGCTGGAAAGATAGGCCTTAATATGAATTACAGCAAGACCAAAACTATAACAAATACAGATGAAGACATCACAATGAGAATCGGACAAGATAAAATAGAACAAGTTAAGGATTATATATATATCTTGGTCAAACTATAAAATTTACCAAAGAGAACCAAACAGCAGAGATCAAGAGACGAGTTAGACTAGCATGGGCGGCATTTGGCAAACTAAGCTACATTCTTAAAAACAAAAGATATCCACAGCATCTTAAGACCAAAGTATATAATCAATGCGTACTCCCTGTTCTTACTTATGGTTCCCAAACGTGGACATCTACAAAAGCAAACATGGACAAAATCATAAAAACCCAAAAAGCAATGGAAAGACAAATGTTGCACATAAGACTAATGGATAAGAAGAGAAACGAGTGGATAAGAGAGAAAACAAAAGTGAGGGATGTTAGACAAGAAGTTGCAATGATGCAGTTTGAAATGGAGATTTGCCGGACACAATATAAGACAAAAAGAAGACCGATGGAACAAAATTCTTATAAGTTGGAGACCGTGGGAATATAAACGAAGCAGAGGAAGGCCCCAAATGAGATGGGCAGATGATATCAAGAAGCACGTGGGCTCTAGATGGATGATTGTAGCGACAGACAGAGAAGAATGGAAAAGGATTGGGGAGGCCTATGTCCAAAGATGGACCGAAGCAGGCTAATTAGATAGATCGAGAGAGGCACACTAAGTCACAGCCCTTATTAAGTTATTCAACAACATGGAGACTATTTACTTTTCAAATGACTGACTATTAATATTGTAATAGTTTCTAGTAAAAAGAAGACAAAACACACATATTGTATAACAAATTCTCTGAAAAACATACTGTTATTTTTCTTTTTAACAAAATATGTCTGGAATACATCAAAATTTAATAATATAATTAACCAAATTAGCGACAAAGTAAGCGAAAAATAATAGAAACGTCATTTATGCATATGAACTGAGGTACGTAAACAGACTTCATAACGAAAATTTAGTAAAACTGATTTGAAATTAGATAACTGCAGGAAAAATATCAATTTGACGTTTCAGAATGATATGAATAGATAACATTCAATAAGATCTAAAAAAATGAACATATCATTTGACTACAGATTGACAAAAGACCTTGTTAATTGAGAAAATGTTGTGCAATTTTCCAAAATCCAGCCAGGATTCTAGCACTATGTGATCATGATGGTGATGCTATAATTTCCGTAAAAATAATTAAATAAAATAGACATACCTGTCGGCATTGCAATTCCAAATGCTCTATTATCTAACCATCCTCCAACTTGTCGTAGTTCGCAGTGTCTTTGTATTTGATATTCAATTTGAGTCGACTCCATCAAAAATGCATATAGACCATTTTCAGATTCTAGTACTCTTTCCATACCTACAGAAAATAATGTTTAGAATTTTTCACCTAACCGTATAGTTAAGAATTATTTAAACAAAATTACATAACACATCCTTTATTTATTATTTCAGCATTTAACCCTACAATGCATTATTTTTTGAATTTACCTCAAAAAAATATTTTTGGTTAGGTATTAGTGCTGTGAATGAGTAAAAAAATATTTAAAAAAATCTTTTGCTTTTTTATTATATATTTTTTTATTTTTTTTAAATGTATCACATATGCTAGCTACAACATGCACTTATGATACAAAAAAAGGAAAAATAATCTTAACCCTACAATGTATCATGTAGGATATCTGCTACATATAAAATATTGAAGAGTTCGATTTTCATTAACAGTTTATTGATGGAAGTTACCAAAACAATTTTTATTTTTATTGAAACATAGTTAAACTTTGCATTTTTCACAAAAAATAAAAGAAAATCCTTTGCAACCGGGTATTTTACATCGTTGCCTGGTATTACTCCAGTTTGGAATGTGACCAAAGTTGTCAGTTCTTACATCTTTTGGAGGAATTGCGGTTGAAGATGATTTTTTCTTTTTCTGTTCTAAATTTCGGTCAAAAAAAGAAGACGACCTTCCCCTCTTTTTTGAACCATTCTGCCCAACGCTGCACAGATAATTGGCGATTTCAGCACGAAATTTTTCCATTGACATTGTGGCTCTGTTTCCTATTTGCCTCATTTTCTGGTTCTCATTGAGATTTTGTAACGCCCTAAAATACTATCTAAAAGATCCACTCCGCCCATATGTTTGTTATATTCTAACACTAAGTTTGGACATAGTACTTCCACTTGTTTTTTCTCTTTTTTACCCGTGTATATAGAAAGTAATGTGACTGCTTTATTGTCCAGCCATAAAACTGAGACAAACGGAGCATTTTGAAAAGAAGTTTCATATTCTTCGAAAGAATCTCGCGGTTTTTTGTTGAAAACAGTATCACTAGAAAATTTGCAGTTGGGCAGATGATTCCTTCTCACTGTTCCTAACGAAAGAATGCCATTTGAGAATAAATATGACATCAGAGGAATTCCTGTATAATAATTATCAAAATAGACAATGTAATTGCAGTTTTTGGGAACTGACCGGCACAAGCGTATAATAACATTTGCTGAAGCCCCAAGATCACGCTCATTTGGAAAACGGTACTTCTCAGAATTTTCTTGGCCCGAGTATATTTTAAATTGGTACGCAGATCCCGTAACACCAGATAAAACAAATAATTTATAGCTCCATTTGTGACGCTTTAGTGGCATGTACTGTTTCTTGTAGTGCCGGGCCTTTGTTGCACACATTTGCTCATCTAGAGATAGACACTTTTCAACTGGAACAAGTTTGGAATGTTTCATTTAAAGAGTCAATAACTGGCCGCAATTTATGCAGACGATCACGATCCAATGATCTCTAGGAAGCATTTTTGTGTTATCATTGAAGTGTAGCATTGCACGAATTTTTTCAAATCGATTGATACCCATCGTGTTTTTTATTTTTTCAAATCCATATTCCTCGAACCAGTATCTTCTAATATTTGACATATTTATTACTGACATATAAATGCAGATACCAATGTACTTCTTTATTTCTCCAGGCGTTATATTCGCCGGTTTTGAAATATTTTTTTGATTGCTGTAGAGGTTCGATTCTTTAGTGATTTTCTCAAATACCTCATCGGTAAAAAAGTATCTGGAAAAAAATCAACAAATTACATACTAAACTGCAAAAGGAATAATTGACTTATTAGGTTTCACCTGAAGAACTGATAGGGTGTTGATAAGTCCATTATATTTGTTGGGAGACTTTCATCACCTCTAAATGTTGTACCCTGAACATTTTGTTGAAAAGATGCTTGCTTCCAGCAAATAGATTTGAATGCATCTTTATCCAGTGTAAATATATTTTCTTCTGCGCCGTTCGCGTCTTCATTCTCAGGTATTATTTCGTTTGCCAAAGGTTTTCGAAAATCGTTTTTTTTTGTCCATCGCCCTGAGATAAAAAAAAGCATAAAATGCATGTTGTAGCATATTTGATACATTTTATTAGAACACCCTATAATTTATTTTTATGAACTCTGGATGCGCACTGATATAACAAATAGTTTAAATACTTAACTAATTTTCCAAATTTATCGAGTTTGCCTGCCAAACTCGCTCCAAATATTAACAAAAACACAAATTTACCATGTCAGATACACGCATCAACCACCAAAACAACAGCTGACATTTAGAATTAAAATTCTGTGCTTGCTGCGCCATCTATTGCCAGCAAAGCGAAACCCGATTTAATGCATTTAGGTGTATCATAAATCATTTAATGAAAATGGATTTCTTCAATATTTTATATGTAGCAAATATGCTACATGATGCATTGTAGAGTTAAACTGTTAAAAAATACCTTTTACGTGTCATTAGACACCCGACAGAAGAGAAACTTTTGATGCGGAGGTAAAACATAAATTTAAAGTGAACAAAGAATCATCATCATCATCACCCAGCCCTTTGCGTCCACTGCTGTACATAGGCCTCCCTCATTTTTGTCCATTGTGCTCTGTCTTGAGCACTTTTCATCCAATTTCTTGACATATTCTTGAGATCGTCAGTCCATCGTGTAGGGTGTCTTCCTTTACTTCTTTTGTCTAACCTCGGCCTCCACTCAAGCAATCTCTTCTTCCACCTTTCATCACTGATTCGGGCCACGTGTCCGGCCCAGTTCCATTTTAGTGTGGCAATTCGGGAAATTACATCGGTAACTCCTGTTCTTCGTCTTAAGGCTGTTTTATCGGTGCACCAAAATTTTTTCTCTGTTATTTACCGACGGAATGTCTCGAAATTTGGACATGTTATACGAAATTATGTTGCCTTTAAACTGATGGTTTTACTTTTTTTATTTTTTGAATTTTCTGTTGAAAAATTGGATTATACTGTTTAACGTTCTATTATAACCAAACTTTTCACGCCCATCAGTTAAAAGAGTTTTTTTTTCTGTAATCGTTGATTCTTTTTTCACCTTTCTGTGTCCAGTAATAATCGAGAAAAGCGTATTCAAACTTTGAAGAAAATTGCTAAAAAATACTGAAATCTAATAGTGAAACGTGTTCCTCATCATTGTCGCTGAGCTTGATCGTTATCGCATTAGTGACGTCAAATCTCATGAGCGTACGGTACGGTCTTATTTTTATTTCTCTATGGGTACGGTCAGTTAGTTCGCTTGAATTAGAATCCATTTTAGTTCTTTCATTCTTGTATTTTCTTTATCAACTTGCTTAGTTTTTACAGTTTACAGTATTCTTATTTATTTTGAAAACATTGAAATTATTTAGTTTACGTGTATGTTAAGTAATATATTATTAGTTTAGTGGTATAAGTTAAAAGTTCTTTAGTTTACGCGTATTTTTAAGTATTACATTAGGTTAGTGATATAAGTTATAAGAGACAAGATAAAAAATGAGTCCCAGTAAACGTCCTATGTCAGGGAAAAGGAGAGCAATTGCACTGCGTTAGTATTTATTATTTATATTACAACTGTTTTTAAAAGCTTTTATTTAACTTATATAATATATATATATATATATATATATATATATATATATATATATATATATATATATATCTATTCAAGGTTTGAATAATCATTCTCCATTTTCATGCAACTTTTCTAATATGGAGATTATCAAAGAAAAAATGGACGGATTGATAAGTACATTGACTTTTAAATGTCAAATGTGGAATATTGAAAAGGAGATAGCAACATAGGATTCTGGTAACAATTCACTAAACTTGAATGGTTCTGGTTATTCAGACATACAGCAGCAGCACGCTGCATTAAATATACCTGTGATTTCCTACAGGCAGTATGCAAAACATACGGAAACAGTTGCAGATATCATCGGCCAAACACTTTGTGATTCCTTAGAAGAGGCTGGACGGGAGGACCTAGCTTTAGCCAAAGAAATTGGCGAAGTAGATTCCGACGGAAATGGGTTAATAACCGTTATAGCTGATGGTGCTTGGTCAAAAAGATCGTATAAAGTAAACTACGATGCTTCTTCAGGTGTAGTACCTGACGTAAAATTTATTAAATTAGTACGCCTTTGATGGATAGGACATGTAATTAGGCGAGATGAAGATGAAACGATCAGAAAAATTTTCGACCGAAGAGGACCAGTGGGAAGACGATCCAGAGGAAGACCAAAACTTAGGTATCAAGATAACATAGAGGATGATCTAAAATCCATCGGAGTTAAAGCATGGAGAAAGTTGCCAGAGGCAGGGCGAATGGAAGATTGTTCTGAAGAAGCCTTTGGCTCATGACGAGCTGTAATGCCACTGATATGATGAAATAACTATCTACGATTTGTGTTTTATTCATCAATTGGATACTTTTCTTATGTAACTGCAACCTATAAATATATTAAAATAATGTATATTCCATTCAGAGAACATTTTCGTCGCAGTGCGTCGCCTCGAAATACTTGCCAGATAAATACATTTTCTATTATGATGGTTTCGCAGGTACCAATTTTTTATAGATAAATAAAAATATTTTTTGTTTAATTTTTACTACGCCAATATCAGTTTTCTCTAACAAAATTAACAAAATATTAATTATATATTAATATTAATATAACAAAATTTAAATTTATTATAAATAAACACCATTGTGTTTTTTGCAGTCACGTTTCACAAATTTTTATTTAATACTATGTTTAGCTAAGACATATAAATTAAAAATGTGATTAATTCTTTTTAAAACATTATCTACGATAATTAATCTAAAAAAAAGTATTCCGACAAAACTAATTTGAATGGAGAATAATGCATTTATTTTAAAACTATTAGGAAGTCACGTAGGGTCTGACATAGCAGTGTAGAAAAGTAAGTGATACGCCCACTTCAAATCGCAGTATGCTATAACTGCGAAAACAGCCTTAAGTCTTTTTCTTTTTCCTCTGAGCTACTTGTAGCGTCCTAGAACTTGTAGCTGTCAATGTCAAAGTTTCGACACCATAGGTCATCACAGGCAACACACATTAGTCGAATGTTTTACGTTTCAACGTTTCAAAGATATTGGCATATCGCTTTTGGACCAAGAATAGATAACAGTAAAACCAACTCAAGAATCTAACAATAAAACACCGAAAATTTCGGAATGGTCTGGTTGTAGACGTATTGAACCACTTCCTTAGGTATTGGAGCCACATATTCTTCTTTTTCCTGGTCCTCTCTTTCCAAATACCTTACTTTGAAAAATGAATTGCAATAAGCCATATCTGTGTTCATTTTTCATAGCATGGCTAACATATTGTAATTTGCACTCTTTGATTGTGTAGTGATCTTGCATTCCCCGCCCATTCTACGTTGAGCTTCAATATTAGTCACCCGATCCATCCATGAAATTAGTAAGATGTGTGAGCTTTCCTAAAGAAGCTACAGAGAGTGTCCATGCCTTTACCCCGTTTAATAATGTAGAAAATACATAGCATCTGATGATAGAGATTTTGGTACTCTAGTAGATTTTTGAAGAAATTATAAATCGTGACTTCTGAAAGGACACTTCATCTTTGCAAACGCTGACATTGCTTTCCCTATGCGTTGCTTTATGTCAGAAGAGTGGTCCCATTGATTGTTTATGTTAGTACCAAGATATGTGTAGCTGCTTACCCTTTCAACTAACTGTTGATTTACCAGAAGATATGTATTTAATGAATATGAAAAAAACAAAAATAATCACAAACACAGAAGACCCCAGACATATAACTATAAACGGCAGTGAGATAGAACAAATCCAGGAATATATCTACCTAGGCCAAATCCTGAGTCTTGACAAAGAGAACCAAAGTGCGGAAATTACTAGAAGAACCAGACTGCCAGACTAGCATAGGCAGGATTTGGAAAACTTAGTTGGATACTTAAGAACCGCAAAATACCCCAATACTTGAGGAGCAAAGTGTTCAACCAATGCATCCCTCCTATCATGACATATGGATGTCAAACCTGGACCCTAACCAAGGCAAACATGAATAAACTAGCCCCAACAGAAATAGCAATGGAAAGAGCAATGTTAGGTATACAACTGTCAGATAAAAAGAGGAACGACTGGATAAGATCCATAACAAAAGTAACATTAAACAAAACATAGCAATAAAAATTGCAAAACTTAGAGCTTCGCGGGCCAGACTGCTAGACAGAAAGACCAACGTTGGAATACTACAATACAACATTGGAGACCTTACGAAAGTAAACGACCAAGAGGAAGACCACATATGAGATGGGTTAATGACATTAAAAGAATAGCCGGAACAAAATGGAAATATGTTGCTCAGGATAGAGACCGATGGAAGGATTTGGGAGAGGCCTATGTCCAAATATGGACGACAGAAGGCTAAGAAGAAGAAGAAGTGTATTTAATATTTTGCGATTACTAACTACCATGGACTTTGTTTTGTTCGTATTGAGATCCAAGCCATGTTCTAAACTTATATCTGATATGCGCAACATTATTACTTGTAACCACAGATGAGGTGGAAAGTTGACATCAGGAAACAAGGAGGTCCCACATGGCAGAGAACAGCTCAAGATAGGGAAAGATGGAGAGAACTGGGGGAGACCTATATCCAACAATGGAAGGATAGAGAATAGGTTAAAAAAAATTACTTGTAAACCATGTAAGCTACCTGCAAACACTACTGTGTCGTCAGCATATCTAATAATATTTAGGCGCACTCCGTTAACTAAGACGCCTTTCTGTAATTGTCCCAGTGCTTGCTTGAAGATACGCTTTCAGTACATGTTAAATAGCACTGGAGACAAAATGCATTCTTGTCTTACTCCTCTATTTATGAAGATTGTCTCTGTCAACTGGTCATCCACTTTAATGTTGGCAGTTTGGTTATAATATAAACTATAATTAATTCGCAAATGTTACTTCTCCATATTTATTCCAAGTGTCTAGTCTCTCTTCCACACTTAGTAGTGGAGTACCTTAGTTGTCTGCCAAACATCCAATTCTTCTAGGCTTGTATAAGCCTGCAGCTTATACTTTTACTTTAACTTCTTTGTGCATGTTGGATCGTGTTTTTGTTGTAATAGCTGTATTTCCGAACATTGTTATCTCAGCTGTGTGTCAGCAATTCTAATTGCTTTTTTGGTATCATTGTCTATTCTTTTGTATAATTTCTTGTGCTGATCCTTGATCTCTAGTCTCTCTTCTATCATATCTAGAATCTCATTAGTCATCCACGATTTTTCTTCTTAACGTGCCCTATCAAGTCCCCTTGACGTTGGCGATTAACATGGCGAAACTGTCTCTGTCTCGAGCTAGTCTAAAGAGTTGCCCAGCTTTCCTTATTTCTGTCCACTCCCTGATATTCTTCAACCAAGAGGCCCGCTTTCTACCAATTCCTCTGCGTCCTTCGATATGGGTTGACACTACGTGAAATTTTCTTTAGCCTGACTCTCATTTTGTAAATCAGTGGGTTATGGTCTGACAATATCGGCTCCTGGGTATGTCTTGACTGATGTAATGCTGTTATGGAATCTTCTATTAATCATAATGTAATTTATTTGATTTCTGACTATGTGGCCGGAAGTATCTTGAGGGATAACCTTCTGTATGGGAGTTAGAAGTAAGTGTTAGTAATTTCAAACTCTTCATATACAAATTTACCCAATCAGTCTCTTCGGTTATTTCTTTCTCTAAGCCCAAACTGTCCTATGAATTCTCCCGATTGTCATCTACCAATCTTGGCATTTAAATCACCTATAATCAAGGTTAGATCATTTTTGGGAAGGTGTTTCAAGGTGTTGGGTAATTTATTATAGAATGCTTCACTTATGTCATCTGGTTTGTCAGCTGTAGGGCATATACCTGGATAATGTTAGGTGTAATTGGGTAGGTATCAATTTGAAGGAGGAGCATTCTTTCCGATATGGATACAAAGTTCCTAGTACCTAACTCTAATCCGTTTGAACTCTAGATTTTTTATATTTTGATGAAGTTGATCAAGTTCTTTAGAACACAATGTCTTATTTTCGAGGATTCCTAGTTTAAGCCGTTTTCAGGAGAATGGTATGCAACTGTATAATAAAAGTTCCACCGTTTTTTTCGCCTTTTTCGTCAAAACGATGATACTTAATTTCCAATTTGGCCATCAGATTACGATGAAACCTCATTGAACAATCCAACGTTCAAGAAAGTGGTTTTTACATACTGTTCTCACTCGCCTTTCTCTGTAATTTATTGGTGTACCATCTTGTATAAACCACATATTTAGCCTTAAGTTTCATGACAATTCTTCCAATAAATCAATAAAATCATGTTAAAAACATGTAAATAAATCTCCCCATTCAAATTGAAAGGTAATTCGCATATCCGTAAAATACCATTAAAAATTCATATTTAAAATGCATGTCCTATGGTTTGAAAACATTGGTAACTATTTTTTACGGATATGCCAATTAACTCGCAATTTAAATGTCGAGATTTATTTAAATTTTTTATATAATAATATTATTGATTTATGGGAAGAATTGTCATCAAACTTGAGGCGAAATATGTGGTTTCTACAAGATGGTACACCAATACATTACAGAGAAAGCGGAGTGAGACAGTATTTAAATACAACATTCCTGAACGTTGGTAGTGGTAGTTATATTCTTATGGTGAGATATTATGGTGAGATATATTATTTAATTCATAAAAAATTCAAAAAATTACTTATTATTATACTTATAACACTTATAATAAATACTGCAGCAGTTTCTTTAGAACCAATGATGCTATTTAATATGAGACAATATTTTATGGAATGTATTGACAAATGAATTAAAGAAAATGGTGGACATATTGAACACATACTTTGACAATAACTTTAAGGTTATTTAGTTTAATATTTCTTAATTTGGTTTGTAAATAAAATGTTTTGATTATAACTTTAATTTAATACAAAACGTAAAATGTTTGATATGTAAAATCCAATTATTCTGTTATTTATTAAATCCTATTATTTTATCCTGCTGATATATTTATTTTATTTAATAATTCGGCAACTATTACCTTTATTAAAGGTATTTTATACCAAAATTCAGAAGTATTGATGTTTTTCTTTAATTTTCTTTCGTTGCCTGGGGTGCGATAAATCAGAATTATGTAGTTGATTCCTTAAATGCGATTATCCCGAAAACTGTTGAGTTTTGAAGATATTAACAAGTATACCTTTTTTTTGTTAAAATAATGTATCTTTAATATTTTTTATTAAAAATATCGGTAAAACTTGAAGAGCAAAAAAGTTAGGTGCAGATTTATTCCACATATGTGGCATATGTGGCGCCCTCTATTAGCTACATCAAAGTATACATCAGATTATAGGTTTTGGTATTCAATAGTACCCAGCTGTAAATTTTTATACATAAATTTTGACAAATATGAAAGTTATAGCGAAAAATAAAATTTTTAATTTTCACTTTAACACCATGTAACTTTCTTAATATCAACATTATATTAAAGCAACTTGACTTAAATCGTAATATTTTAAAGTGTAGAATCTACGGTTTCTTTTTGTACAATAACTTAAGGACCACCCTGTATAAAGATGAAACACGGATAGAATATAAAAAACAGTGTAAATACCTTCGGTATTAGTATCAGCAAGTAAACTTGGTGATTGTTCCAGAGTAGCGTACATTCTTTGATAAATCGTGGAATTTGCAGTCTTCAAAAAATTTTGGGTAGCGCCTCCATTTAAACAACCATATTTTACCTTTGTTTGAGTCGCCAAATCGTCAACACTTTCTATAGATGGCTCCATATTGGCTTGGTTAACCATTAACGCTAAATTTGCTATGTACATACTTGAGATTAATAAGCTGAACAGCCACCATACAGTGATAGCGAGTCTTGCAGATTGGCCTCTAAAAATGCAGATAGAAACTATTAAAAAATTGGTTTATATTACAACCCATAAAAAAATAATCCGTAATAACTTTTCTTTTAAATTCAAGCGAAGTGTACCTAAGTGTGTAGCATTTCTGTTTTACTCGTATATGGTAAAAGATCGAAAAATATTCTTGATCTTTATGCGTCTCTGAGATTGGTAATATAAACATTTTCGAATCTGTTCATAATAATTTTAATTGCTATTTCGTTTGATCTTGATTCTGCCTAGGTACTGCGTTGGAAATAAACATACCTAAATCTTTCGACTTAGGTTGGTGGGAAAGTGTATGCGGACAAGAGAATGATTTTGAGAGAATTATATCACTTTTGGTGGACTTGCCGCCAAACGCAGTCGGTGTCATTCTTTGGTCCGATTTTTTTTTTATTCGTTATTGTTATTCGTTATTCGTTATTTGTCATCGGAATTCAGTATTGTAAAGATAGTAGCAGTTAGAGAGAAGCAGATTGGGTTCGTAACAGTTAAGATCTTTCTCGGCATATTTTTATGCCGAGATATTAATAAATCTCGGGATAGTTTTTGTTTAATGAGTTAGAAGAAGGCGAGTTAATTCTCAAAATGCAGCGTTTTCAAGGTTTTAAGAAGTCCACATCGTTTAGGTGAAAATTAAGTAGCCAAGTTATAAAGAATACACTTTGCTATCATCAGTACAACGAAGACCAATTCGATGTTTAACTTCCCCAAGATTTGTCCATTTTGTGTCTCTATGGGTCAATCTAGATCATTTGCAGTTTGTGTGTGACAGTGTGTTAGTTTTATATCCAGTTTCAAGGTAATTAACTTTCTTACTAACTAAAGAATAAATACATTACCAGTGAAGCAATGGAATTTTTTATTAGATTTTTCTAAGCAAAATAAATATTCTTCATTAATATACGAAGATAACAAGAGGTGGTCAAATAATTGCATATGCAGATGATATTGCTATTATTGCAAAGAACAGAAAAATAATGAAAGAAATGCTTGAAGAAATAAGAGAGAAAGGAAAGGTAATGCGGCTAAGATTAAATCAAGAAAAGACAAAAATATTAAGATTAGGGAAAAAACCAATGAAGGAAAAAATCAAAATAGGAAGTTCCGAGTTTGAAGAAGTAGAATACTTCAAATACCTAGGAGTTACAATAAGTAAATCCGGAGAAAGGAAATCCGAAATAAAAGAAAAAATATTAGCAGCGAATAAAGCTTATTTTGCAAACAAAAGATTACTTAAAAGCAAAACATTGACTAAAAAAAGCAAGATGAGCATTTATAACACCATAATTAGACCAATATTATTATATGCAGGGGAAACAATGACGACGGTTAAAAAAGATGAAGAAGACTTAAGAATTGCAGAGAGAAAGATTATGAGAACCATACTAGGACCAATCAGAACAGAGCAAAATGTATATAGAAGCAGAACAAATGCAGAAATTAAGGAAGAACTTAAGGAAGACATTGTAACTAAAATAAAGCAATGCAGAGTTAGATGGTTAGGTCACATCTGGCGAGCAGGCGATGAGGCAGTGACATACGCAATGATAGAATGGAATCCAGGAGGAAGAAAGAGAAGGGGAAGACCGAGATCAAAGTGGCTGCAAGAAGTTGAAGAAGACCTCCGAAGGACAGGAGTCAGTGAATGGAGAGGAAGAACTAGAGACAGGAAAAAATGGAGAGATATTGTCAAGAAGATAAGATAAACAAAAAAAAAGACTGATCCACTTAAGAAATAGGATCTAGAAAGCATTTGCGGTTTAACCCCACGTTGGGGTGTACAGCCATTATATATATATATATATATATATATATATATATATATATATATATATATATATATATATATATCTATATATATATATATATATATATATATATATATATATATATATATATATCTATATATATATATATATATATATATATATATATATATATATATATATATATATATTAGTATAATGGTAAGGTTAATTGGGTTAGCAGCTGAATAATGAAAGCCAAAGTGTGCTCTTTTCAACGACTTCGTTATATTTCGTTATATTTCTTTAACATCTTCAGACGAATGCTACAATATGTTACAAAATGGTGAAATTGTGTATTTTACATAAGATGTACTGAAACACTTACTTGTGTGAGGTTGCAGGCAAAAGTGGTATTTGAAAGTTCCATGTTGAAAAACTTTTTTGAAGATTTTTTTATAAAGCAAAAAAAATATAAGTTGTATGTGTTATATGGTGGCTTGAAAACTCAAACAATAAAAGTGCATTTTTGTTATTTTTCATATTTATTTTTTATTGTTTGAGTTTTCAAGCCACCATATAACACATACAACTTATATTTTTTTTGCTTTATAAAAAAATCTTCAAAAAAGTTTTTCAACATGGAACTTTCAAATACCACTTTTGCCTGCAACCTCACACAAGTAAGTGTTTCAGTACATCTTATGTAAAATACACAATTTCACCATTTTGTAACATATTGTAGCATTCGTCTGAAGATGTTAAAGAAATTTAACGAAATATAACGAAGTCGTTGAAAAGAGCACACTTTGGCTTTCATTATTCAGCTGCTAACCCAATTAACCTTACCATTATACTAATTAATAATTGGACAGCTGTGATCATTCTTCCTTCCTTTATATATATATATATATATATATATATATATATATATATATATATATGTATATATATATATATATATATATATATGTATATATATATATATATATATATATATATATATATATAATATACGAAGATTTCCTTTCAGGACAAATTAAAACAGTATAAATAATCATAAGTATTATGGATTAGCTAATTGTCATATTTTAGTCTTCTTTTAAATAAAGTTAACCTTGATAATTAATTAATAATTCAGAAAAGTTTAATATTTCATTTCGACATAATATGACAATCAATATTATTCGTGTTTGTCAATTGGTACACAACTTAAATTTTAAATTCTGTTTTGTTAAAAGGTTAAACTCAATGTAGTTTGTTAATAAATTTGTTTTGAAACGGCGTCCATTTTAAATAGTGTAGGTATCTTCTTGTGTTTGTTGCCTAGAAATTTTTTGTACGTATTTTTTTTTATTTCTTTTTTGTGTACTTAGTTTCTCCAGTCTGTAAAATAAAGAAACTTTATCCACGACAAAGGTCTCCAATCAAAACACGAGTAGCAAGTAGCCGTTCACAAACGCTATTTGCTTACCCTATCTTAAGTTTAGTAATTGGTCGCTTCACCCTTTCCACCCCTATAAGCAATTATATATTGTTACAAGTGACACCCAACGTGGTAGGCAAATTAAATTGCCTCAAGTGTACCCAAAAAGGCTGGGTACCTGAGTACCACGGGTATAGACTACCTTATGAGGTACTTGTGTAGAGACATAACACTTAAAATTTAATCAACGTACAAGACATTTTTCATTTTTCGTACTTTTTGGCTATTTAAATCTCCCACATCGACTGAGTGTATAAAGTTGCATTAAAAAAACACAAGAATGAAAAAAAAAAAGACAAAAAAGGAACACAATTACTTACTTTGGTAAAATATCATTACTTTGAGATGTAAGGCCCTTAAAAGCCACAGTTAAACAATTTTTCAGATTCCAATAATTTTTCATTGTATCATCAAGTTCGTCACAGGGATGGCGTACTTCCCAATCCTTCGGTGATAGTCTACAAAAACACCACTATTTCGATTACTCAAAAAAAGATAAATCAAAGCACATTTACCTTAGTATAATGTATAATCCAAGAGAAATAAAGATATAAGCATAAACTATAGACATCCAAACAGAACGAGAAAATGGATTTAATACTGCAAATGTGCGTGTTTCTCCAAAGTCTGGTGTTCTGTATAAAATACTGATTCCTAAAAAGTGTAAGGGGGTTATTTAATTTTTTTTAAGTTATTTATCTGTATACCTAAAGTCATGAATGGTAAACTGAAGTCCACAACTTCTTGTCGGTCTTGTGTTATGGTAAGATCTGCAATCCCCAGGTGGGCTTTCTAAGGAATACAAAACACAGAACTTTAGAATGTTTAACTTTTTTTATCCTCAAACTTCTGAAACCAATCTTAAGAAATATATCGGCATATTTGGTATTTTTTCATTGTATTCACTTATTTCTAATATGTCAAACACATATTTGCATATTTTATTAAACATAAAAACAATATTAAAAATAATAGACTTATTATAATAATTAAATTTTAATATTAATAAAGTTTTGGAAAGTTCATGAGCTTTAAACAGCTTTAATTATCATATTATTTCTAATCCGCAGTAAATGCCACCATTTCTTACTCAGAGAACCACTTATCTAATACTGAGGAAATAGAACACCCAAGATCCAGAGGAGTACCACCTAATTACTTGTCTTCCTACTTTGTATAAATTGGTCAAATCCCATGTAGCTCAGCGTATCTATCAACACTGTTCTCTAAACAATATTATAGATATTCAACAGAAAGAATGCTTAAGAATGCTATTAGAATAATTTCTAATTAGGCGTAAAAAAAACCAAAAAAAGTAACCTCTTTACTGCCTTCATTGACTACAAGAAGGCCTTTGATTCAGTACCACATAAACGGCTTATAGATATATTAAAAATATATAAAGTCGATGATAGTATAGTGACCTTTTTAAACATCATCGATATTAAAGATATCCCAATTAACCGGGGCCTTTTTCAGGAGACTTTTCCTTTTCTATTAATGATTTGACCATTCTTAAATGATATCAGTATGCACTTTGGACTAGACAAATGCCGTATTCTAAACATAGAAGTTTTGATATGCAAGACGGCCAAAACGTCAAGGCAATAGGTGAACATGATATATCCAAATATCTCGGAGTAAAGCAAGCGCAGAAAATTGACCATAAATGAACAAAAACCGAAGTAACTTCTGCGTTTCTGCAAAAAGTAACACAGATAAATCGGTCATATCTTATTAAAAAAAATCTGTTAAAGGCATTAAATACGTACGTCTGTTCCGCGCTCAGCTACTTATTTGGTAGATAATATAAGGGAGACAAAAACGGATATAGAAAGTATTCAGCGGAAAGTCAGAATACTTCTCACAAATGCGCTAAAACACCATCCACGCAGTGCAGTAGAGAGAACAATATTACCGCGGTATCAAGGGGAATAGACCTTATGGACATAGAAGAGCAACTGGATTAACAGGCTGCTAATTTGAGAACCTATTTTTAGACGCAGGCTGAGACATCTACTTTATATCGAGTAATTTTCGCAGTGGATGACACAACACCGCTTAAATTGGGAGAACAAGAAATTCGTATAAACAACCTGACTAAGAAAGAAACAATGCATACGTGGATGAGTGAACCTCTGTATGGGCAACATATCAATGTGTCAACAGTTCAGTTCATTGCCATTGAGAATCAGGATATTCCTACTAAAATCTACCTGAAATATATTGTTGCCCCCCAGTCCCAAAACGACAAATGTCGATATAAATGTCAAACCCAATATCGTACGGGGGGTTGCCAGGCGTTTGTCGGATTTGACTACAAAGGACGCCGTGATTCAGTAGCGAATATTCTTTACCAAGAATTAGCTAGCAAACTGGGACTTATTTAAACCTATTAACTCCCTTCTTATCAATAAGTCGTTGACAGAATGATTGAAAACGCAAATTATAAACTTTATGGTGACCGCACTGTGCTTATAGACCAGGAGTCACACATAATAGACTAGATCTCATACTATTTAATAAACTTATTAGACAGATAATACTTATCGATGTGGAAATATTTTGACAATACCAATTAAATGCTTTAAATACAACGAAAAAATCTGCAAGTATAGAGATCTGCAAATAAAAGTAAGAAGACAATGGAAAACACTCAAACCATATATTTTATTCTCTCTTCTACTGGAGTTATTCCAAAGAGACTTTCAGAGAACATAAAATGACTAGGTGTTAATTAACATGTCTTTAAAACGATGCAGAAAGCAGTACTGCTCTTAATATCTAGATGCGTCAGAAACATTTTTAGAGATACTTGGAGATACGACGTACCGAGTTACCTAGGGCTCGATAACACGGAAAGATTCCACCAGAGCTTAATCCTTTTGATACCTTAGATATCTGGGATAAGTAAGAGGAAGGGTACTACTTTACCTAAAAATACAGCAATATGAAACGTAAATAACAATAGTAAATGAAAAAACACAAGCACAAAAAAATGTTTCCCAAACATTAAAAAAATTAGCAAAGTAACGTAAAAAATATACATAAAAAATAACGTAAAGTACTTAGAAGCCAAGAAATGTTGATTGTTTTAGAAATAAACACACTAAGCAAAACAAATTTATAATAATATTAAATAACCAAAATAATAAAGCCATTAAAGGAGACATCAAAAACATGAGTATTGGCACAGCCACCTTTACTTCCAAGCCATGAAGTAGAAATTAGGCAACAACGCGTGGTAGTCCGACTGTGGTTTGTTTTGGTTTAACATTTCATATAGGAAGACTTGTAAAGTTTGTTGAATTTATTGTTTTTTTAACTTTATTCGAATGTTTTATTTGTAAATTGTGTTTAAATCAATTAGAAAATATTAATATAAGTGAAATTTCATTAAATTTAGAACTTTTAGAAGATTCTTAACGGCAATTTAAAAGGCAAGTATAAATATAACCTACAAAACAAACTGAAAATAATAACACTTTTGCTTCTTGTTACAAAATATGTAAACTAAAAACAACAATAACAATACTTTTGTTTTTTGTTACAGATGCTCTGGCATTGTTGTGTACCTGGTTGCAAAACCAATTATGCCAGTACTTTAAAAACGAAACAGGCAGAAAGTACGTTTTTCTTTCCCAAAGATCCCCAAAGAAGGTATACTGGGTTATGCTCTATTCATAGAGAAGGCTGTACAATTACCAAATCTTCCGTAGTATGTGCCAAACATTTTCATGAAGATGATATTCAGCGGACTGAACAATGAGAAGATAAAGATGGAAATGTACACATTGAAAAGTTAATATTTCCCAAATTAAAAGGCAATGCAGTTCCTAATATATTTCCTGAAGTACCATCATGTAACTGTTCATCGTACTAAAGAAAGAAGGAATCCCGAAGACAGAAGAAACTTTTTGCATAAGAAGAGGGAACAAGAGATAACATATTTATGTCAATTAGACTTAGACAATAATATCCCATTGAAAAACTGGACAAGTAAAATTACAAATGACTGTGTATATTTCTATATATTAAACATTAATCAGTTGGGACACAAGTGTGATAATATTTGTGTAATATGTAGTGTAATAGTTAGCAGTAATTTTAGTGTAATCGTCAATGTAGGTAAGAATAGATTAAGTGGTAATGATTTGAAATGGATTTTACAATATAGTAAATTAACAAGATGGTCACAATTAGAGAACTTACTTTCTCATTTAGATCTGCTTTTTAGATAAGTGATAACAAATTTGAGTATTACATTCAAAAATCTTTTGAGAAATACAAGTTATAAATGGTATGTTACATTCAACACATTTTTCATGTATACCTCTTTTAACTTGGTCTATATGACAACAAACTTATTCATATTTAAAATTGCTACTTTTGTATATCTAAGTATGAAAATTCAACAAAAGTTATAAGTAAATAGTAAAATATTTAATTTTCAATTAGATTAATGCAGAACCATATTTATATTGCGTCTGATTTCTTAGGATGAATTTTTTAATCATCATAGTTACACTAAGTTTTTACTTAGCACAAATTTTATATCTTTTGTATTTTTAATAATCTTTTTAAATGTCGTGTTAATGTATTGTATTATTTATATGCTTAAGTACTTAATATTTAAAATTTCTAGAGATTCTTGACTGCATTTGATTGTAAGATTAACTCTTTGACACTGTATTTTAAGTGCAATAAATTTTACTCTAGTGATTATTTTATTGATAATATAACCTAAATAATAATAAAACTTTATATATATTTACTAGGTAGATATAAGGTTTTATTAATTTAATTTCCCTAAAAATATTTCTGTAATGAATTGAAGTTTTCAAAATATCAGTTTCCTAAAATTCAAATTAGTTTAATATTCTGGTAGACCTTACAGCTGATTATCGGACTACCGACGTCATAGAATGCGGTGTTGCCTTTTTTACTTCATGGCTTGGAAGTAAAGGTGGCTGTGGTATTGGTCGCAAATTAAAGAGAAAATTTTTTAATTTAAAAACAAAAATGGAAATTTAATCTAAAAAAGTAAAGAGTAAAAATGTAAAAAGTTAAAGCGTATAAGAAAATGAAACAATTGAAAATCTTCAGTGCATAATGAAAATTAGCTTAGAGGTGTTAATACAGAAAGATACTTTGTTGCCGAAAAAACAGTAGTCAATTACGTAGTTATATAAGTAAATAAGGCTTACAGAACGCAGATTATCTACGATAGGCTCATCATTTGTCATTTTTCATCTCTCCACTCTCATGTTATCATGTCCATACAAAGATCGTCCGCAGGATCCTCCGTTTTAAGACTAATAATTTTGTTGTTTCACGCTAGTTCAGTATCCACGTCTTCATTCCATACATTATTATGGGGCGGATCATAGATTTATATACCTTTGTTTTAGCTGTCTTTAAAAGCATTTTTAAGTTAAGTAGCGTGATGAGGGAATGCCGCATTTTATTTCCTGTCGTGATTTTTGCTGCTACATTATTTTTATAACTACTGTTTTTGGCAGTTATCACTGCTCCCAAGTTAAGGTATGCATAGGAATCTACAGGTATGCATGGGTATGTAAGGATAGGCGAATGACACTGTTATTATAGTAGACGACATAGAGATAGTCAGAGTTATGTTACAAGAACAAATAATGCAGAGGGTCAGTTTTGGAGGATAAACTATGAAAAAATATTATGCTACTCAGAAGAGTACATTTAAGATGGACCGCATTCGAAATTATGAGAGATATATTTAATACAAAGATTCAATTCTAGTTAAAAAGAAAAGC